ATTTTTACATTTGTATGCGCAAACGATATGTACCACTAGTATACAATGCAAAACGAGAAAATAATATTATTTTCAATGCAAAGCCACCGCCGCCGAGTCCGTTATCTTGTCCTTGGTTTCATCTTAAACTTTGGCCTTGTAACTTTCAGTCTTTTCAGAAATACAATCAGCGGGGCTGACGTTACTGTTCTGTTCGTCCCTGGCTGGCTGTCCACAATTTGAGAAGATTCACGACTTTAAGTCGATATCTGAACGAGTCTTTTGAGAATAGCTTCCAGCCTGCCCGCACTACATCGTGTTCTGTTTCAAATTCACGTTTGTACAGAGCTGATTTCATAAACCTCTTATCAGGTGAAGGCAAAGGATCATCATCGAATCCATCGTTCTCTGCAGTACAGACTGGTTTGGTTTGTCTTTTCTTCTGCCAGATCGTCGTACATCAGGTTCTGTTGTTGTTCCAGATGCTGTTGTAGAACCAGGATGTGACGTAGAAGACTGAATTGTAAGCTGCGGTGCACCATGCTCTCTGTATCATACTCTCTTTGTCTATGCTAGTGGTCCATATCGTTTGCGTATGCATATGCAATGCGTATGCAAATGCAAAAATATGTGTTTTCACGTTTTCTGTAGTACTTTCACTTCATAACTTTGTATTTTGTCTTGCTAGTGACTTTGTAAAAGTCGAAAAATCGACAATAAATTGTTCAGAAGACAGTAGCTGTCACTCATCCACTAACTAGAGTTCGAGTTTACAAGGTTTGAGCTGTTCTGTAACAAAAAAAGCGGTTGTATAAGTGGCAGAACACCCTCACAGTTTTCTGGAGACTCTGTAGAAGTTCTACGGACCAGCATTTCATGGAGTGGTTGTAAACATCTTCCTGTAACGTCCTAGACTGAAGTCAAGAGAACTTTTCGCTTGATAAAAGTTTTGTTTTTTGCTTTTCTTCCTGCGCATTTGCCATCCTGAGACGAACAGACACACAGACGTTTTTCGTGTTCTGATCCTTAGCTTACGGTCAAGAGTTTTAGAAAACAAATGGTGATGTTGATAACAACATTTTAACGTGGAAGATGATTTGAGGCTCACAGTCTAGAGCTCTATATCATTCGACTTGTAGAATCTGAGTGTCTGCTGTTTTGCACAAGCATGTGCTTGCTACGATAATTTCTCTTCTCTTTCATTTAGTACTCCTCCGGTGTATACAGTCCATGAAAAGATAGTTAGAATCGATCACATATCTTGCTTGTGCGTGTGTTCCTGTCGAATGCTAATCTAAGATTTCACTTTCGTTGCCGAAAAGCTCTTGGAAACTTGAGGTGGTCCCTACTACACACTCAGTCCGCGAGACTGCCTTCCTGTAACTTTTGTCTCAATACAGTTGACGAAATAAATAATCTGTTTTACAGTAGCTTTGAATAACTCATCTGTCTTTTAAACAATTCATATCGACCAAAGAATTTCAAATGGCAGAAGTAATATCACATGCTCACTCACAACGAGACAATTAGAACAAGCTCCTAAGTCTTCTGGAACACTGATGAAAATGTAACAAAATGGTTAAAAGATATTACAAATGCTTAGAAATTAGTAGGATTTACTGACTGCTTACTGATGGACCCTGCTTTACGTTTCCGCCTCCCGAAAAAAAGATAAGAAACCGTTCAAAATGGAGAAAATGTACACGTGTGTTGTAGCGAAAAACATTCATAATTAGAGGATTTTATCCTGTGTACGAGGTTATGAACGGCACAAAACCGCGCGCCCGCAACGTTTGATTGTCGTTGCATGTGAATACCTAAATGCGTATATCAGATCGTTTTAGTGTTAGCTACTGCGCAGTTATGGCATTACTAGGACTTAGCGCCCTAATATAAAAGAATCATATGATGTTCATTCGCTTATCAATGAATGAAACGTCGCTCTATCTTGATAAATCAACCCCTTGTGATCTGTATTTGGTGGCCAATCGAAATTCCACGCAACGGTGTATGGATAAGTGTGGCTTAACACTGACCATTCATGCAGATAAACATCCATATAAACTGAGTGAATCGGGTACGATGATAATTCAGACCAAAAATGGTGCGCTCTCCGACTCGTCAACCCAAATGCATGAGCACATTTACCAGAGGCGCGAACAGTTAAAAGCGTTCCTGACAGACTGAATATAGTGGTCGATTGTCGGTAACGAGAATGAATCTTATCGTGAGGTGGAAATTTTGTAATATTCATTTCAACCGTATCAAGGGGCTGTGGGGCACACGAGCCCAAATAAAACATTCCATCCGTATCACGAACATCTGGGTGCGACATTATTTGACTAAGGACACCTGTATAGTTATAAGTTGAATTAGATGGCTTTGGATTCGATACATCCGGAATGTCCCATTTGACTCCTTTTATACGATTCGGATGAACAACATTCACGTCATCTTCGAAGATAAACGACCATAGCGATCGGCCATCGTTCGAAGAGTTACTAATTTTAGTGTAAATATCAATAAACGATAACATATTTGAAGAAACTTTTGGACTCCCTTTATTTAACCTCAAATCGTCGAATGGAACTGGTGTAAAACATTGAAAATTAAAAAAGCCTGGAAAATGACGATTAAGATTGTTCACGCTAAAATTGTAACGAGCGCTGTTGCAAATACTAATTATATAAGCGTTTGCCCGAGTTTGGGTGAAGTTACCACCGACAGTCGAATGTCGAACTTTAATAGAATGAATTGGACAGAAATGAAGAAAATAAA